TCTTGGTTCTTTGTCTCCTTCATCATCAATCTCTGTAGACAAAGCTTCCACATTCTTCCCAAGCTTCAAAGTGATGAAATCAACCATGGATTCCAACGACGTCGCACAAGTATTCTCCTCTCCTTTAACCCCTGGCTTCTCACACAATTCTATTGTTTCCTTCAAAACCTTGGCTTCTGTTGACCAGGCTTCACAGCAAACTCTTTTAATATCTGAGACATCTGCTACAAATGAATCGTATAATTACATCAATTACATGTGCGATGAAGATTCACCCCAGGCTCGTGGTTAATAATGAATCCTTCGTATTATACGCACGTACCTTGCTTGAAGAAAAGGGAACAGATTTGACCACTTCACGAGGCAGCAAGGAGGACTGGTTGGAGCTTTGCCATGAAGTGGATGTTCATCTTGTGACCAGGCTTCATGTCCTCTTCCAAGAAGAAGAGAGTTGTGTTTGGGATATTATGGAGTTCTTCGTTGTCGGAGTTAGCAGCATAAATGTAATTTGGCTGGCGAAGAGTACTGTTACTCTAACATGGATGGTTGTGTCACCCCCTGGCTTAACAACAATAACTTAAAGCACTTATTAAAGGAACGTAATGAATAATTATAAAATTCATCCTGCATACAAGCCATGACAACTAAGTCCCAAAATATGCTAATAGTAACCTGCTGGGTGGAGGAGCTCTGTGATGAATTTAGGCATGGAAGTGGCGGGAAGCATGGACTTCCAATAAAGTTCAGGAGGCAAAGCAGCATGTGTTGCCCCCAGTGCAACCTGAAATTATTGCATTTGTAACATATCAATATGTAGTGAAAATAAGTTTAATAGGACCCAAAAAGATGATAACAGGAAAGGTTGTTAAGATATAATATATACAACGATTAGTAGGAGTGAAAACTTCATTATTGGAGAATTGCAAGTGAAATGGATCGATGATAATAAAGACGAACTGAGAGGAAGCATATAAAGAGGGGGGAAATGCTCATTAGATGGGATTCAGCCTGGATGTCAATTCGGCGGCCATGTTCATAAATATCCTGACGATTTGGATAGCATCGATCATATAGAATGGTCTACAATTTTTAAAATAGAAATATTATTTGACTGATAATATTTAAATCATTCAGCTAGATATTTTCCCCAGGATCAACATGTGTATGCATTTTTTGTTCATGAAAACAAAAATCAATATTTCATGATGAAAAAGAATAAGCAAAAATATTTATACAAACATTTAAAAATAAAAGAGTTTACTAATATATCATAAATAATATTTATTAATTATTATTTTCATATTGAATGTTGGTTAAAATTCATCTATACATGAAAAAAAGTTTAAGAGAAATCCCATAAATTATAAATAATGTGAGAAATTTTTTAATTTACGGGGAGTCACATAAAATAATCATAAAAGGGTTCCTTTCAAATTGCAAGAAACTATTTTAAATAAAATTTGCACTACAATTCTTCTCACTACTCACAATAGGTTTCGGCCCGCGACAAGAGAGAAAGGGTGAGGACCAGTGAATCATATTTTGGGCCACCCTTTGGGCCCCGCCTGACGAAATGCTTGGACTCCATGGTGTGGTTCCAAAGTTTTTGGACCATCTTACATATTATATTCTTGTAGAAGTCGATTAAGACCCAAAAGAGAAAAAGAATTGCAATAGGGGTTAAAGTTATTTTTACACTCGAATTGCACAACCATTCAGTATCCTAAACTTAAATTTGGCACAATGTTAATTTATCCTTTACCGTTAAATGGTAGCTAACTCCTTACTTCATCCCTAGTTTTCATTTTTAAAATAGAGGACTTAAACTCATCAAAGAATTTAAGTGGGTTATATCATCACCTTTATAAGAGGGAGTGATATACACCTCTAGACTGAGATTTATTTGGAACAACTAAGAGCTTGGATTGTTGGTAGAGTAAGTGGTGAAAAATCTCAAGTGTAACTTAGAGAATGGACATGGCTTCAAGTGATTGAAGTTAACAAGGATAAACACTTGTGCAAGCTTCTCTCTCCTCTTAATTTTTTGGTGATATTGTTCCTTCTCTATCTCATTTAATTCACTCATTGTCTATCAAAATTAAATTTTCCAATTTACCCTTCTTAGGTTTTTATAGACTTATCATGTCGCTGATCTATAGAAAATTTTTAAACTCACCAAACCATCATTGCCTGCATCACCCAGTGGATCAGTGTCACTTCACCATCGCTTATCACCAGTGGACCAGTGCTGCCTCACTACCACGTCATGGCCACGTCATATATTATACTTTTAATTGTGTCTAGCCAAGTTTGAATTCACAATCCCACACTCTCTAATACCTTTTTTTATCTTATTGCTAGTGAGTTGAAAGGACATTCGGTCTTAATTAATAAATTAAATATATAAGATTTAACTACATAAACATGTTAATAAATAAATTATTTAAATTTACTTATTTATTTAAAATTAAATTTATTTATATGGTAAAATTATTTATATATAATAATTATTTCTATTATTTTATTTATAAATTATTTTATAGGTAATTTGATATTAATTGAAAAATATTTTATTATCATTATATATTATATTATCATTCATATCTATATAATATATAATATTTTATTTTTAAATTCTTTCTTGAATAATATTTTTTATTTTTTAAATAAAATAATTGAGTATACAATTTAAATTATTATTATTATAATATATGAATAATTAAAATAATAAAATGTTTAAATCATAACAAGAAATTATTCAATAAATTATTAACATATATTATAAATAATAAATAAAATTAAAAATAGTTTGCAATGGAATTATGGGAGAAATATTTGTGGCAAAATTTTCTATAGCAAATTCTGTCAAAAAAATAGAATAAGGTATCCTAAAAATAAGTGATGGGCTTTTTGTCATCAAATTCTATCACTTAATTATTTATGATGAATTAGTGACGGAATAATAGAATTTAGCGATGAATGTTCCGTTGCTAAATTCTATCACTAATTTAGTGATGGATTAGCAGCAGATTATCATTAGCTTTTGGATTTTTTTTGTTTTTAAAAAATAAAAACAATTTTTCAAAACAGGACCCAAACAGGTACTAAAATAGACAGGTCCCTGTATCCCTTACAAATGCATAATGCAAATAAGCAAATCCTAGGATTTGATTTCCCTCATTTTCTATCAAGAGAACTTCCACGTGAAAGCACACTAGTATGTTGTTATCCTATTAGAGCATTTTTGTGAGAAACGTTCCGGTCTATGTGTTAATTGTAAATTTATGTGCACCTATACATGGAGCACTCTGGCGGGAAAGACCTATGGGAGTGCTTCTTATAGGGAGCACTTTTTTTTAGGAAGCACTCCCATAAGTTTCACCTCTAATTCTAAGAACGTTTTTCTATGTGCTTTGACAAGGATGTTCTTATAGTTGTGCTAAATTATTTGATTATTATTGATACTTTGTATTATTATTCTACTAAAATCATTGATTAGTTTCCCTATCATTTGAAAATTGGGAGGAAACAAAGGGGAGAAAATCTATGAAAAAATTATATCAATAAATATTTGCAATGGAATTTTTTTTAATTTGGTAAATTGAAGTGTTACTTACAATAGCCACTTGACTCAAGTGGCAAGGATGAGTTAGGTATAAGTAGATGTCAAGGACTCAAGGTGTCAAGCACACACGGTATATAATGAAAAGAAAGTATCATTAATAGCACGTCAAATTTTTATTATAGCTTGATTTGCAAGAAAAAGATTATTGCAAATTTTATGGCCAAAAGATATGGTAAATAAATCTTAATATTTCTCATAATCTCTCCTCAGTTGAAAGTATATAACGGTATTAGATTTTCATAAAACTTAAGATAAATCATATTATTTTTGCCATATGAATAGTATTAATATATTTGTTTAGACTTTATATTTTATTTAGATAAATAATAATTTGTTGAGGTGTTGCATATTTTCAAACAATTTTCAATTAAAATTTATTTCATTTATTATTATTTATTAATTGTACAGAAACCTACACTTTACTTAATAACTTAAGTTCGCAATCATTTTACTCCTTAATATAGATGTTCCTTATCATCTATTTATGCCATCATATTCATAAAAATATCAAAACGATGTTTGGTATAAATGAAATATGAATGAAAATTATGTTTGTACTCCTAACACAAAATTAATTAAAACTAAAAAATGATTATGATTATGATGGATACTGC